GCTAAACCATCCATCCCTTCCACCACCCCAACGTTTGATTCCATCACCTCCGGTAGCAGCTTTTGGAGCAAATTAACTCCACGCTGTGTATTTGGCCTCAAACAATATTGTCTGGATGAACCGAGGGCGCTTCGTCTCACACTGGGTACGCGGGGAGCTTCTAAAGAGCTGGTCACCGGAAAAATTAGAGGCTGTCACAGATGAATTTTAATCACTTGCCTTTTTTTTTTTTTCCTGAAGCTCTTTTACATCCAAGTCCTTGCAAAGCATCCTCTTTGGGAGAAGCTTTCATCTAAAGGGGAGTTTTAACACACATCCCAATCATAAGCAGCACTCAGATGCTTTGCCAACTATTTTGTCCCAAAAAAAGGGAGCAGCTGTTGTTATACACCCCTTGCCCAGCCCACCCACAGCTTTTTCCTAATTTAAATAGACATTTTATGATGATGGGGCAACACTAGACACAGGACCCGGCGTAGTTTTACAGCCACCTGGGAAGATGCCTCCACTCCCATCTCATGGACACCACCAGGAAGAAAAGCCAGTGGGCTCTGGGCCACTAATAAAGCTAAAATATATATAATGTGCATATATTATACCTTTTCTATATTTTATATATGTGTGTGTATATATTTTTTAATATATGACGATAGGATGACGGGTAATAGTTTTACATGGAAAGAGGGGAGATTGAGATGAGATCTGGGGAAGAACTTCTTTGTTGGGAGGGTGGTGAGAGCTTGGCCCAGGTTGCCCAGAGAAGCTGTGGCTGCCCCATCCCTGGAGGGGTTCAAGGCCAGGTTGGAGGGGGCTTGGAGCAACCTGGTCTGGTGGGAGATGTCCCTGCCCATGGCAGGGGCCTGGAACTGGGTGATCTTCAAGGTCCTTTCCAATTCTAACCATTCTATGATTCTATGACCTTGCCTTCTGAACTGGAGAAGAGTTATTCAAGGTGACTTCTTATTTCCTTATTACATTCTTGCTCTGTTTGTCCCATAAACACCTTCATTATCCTTCCTTATCCAGGTCTCCATGAAAAGGTGACAAGTTTGCCCTCAGAGAACTGCTGCAACTTGAAACCTGGCACCAAGGGAGAAGCTGACACCATTAACCTGCTCGCACACACTACTTGCCTGTGGCCCCCCCAAAAAAGTCTCAAGGCTTATTTTTTTGCAGGGTTTATAACCCCAATGCAGCATCTGACCTCAAGGAAGCAGTTTAACGAGAGTCAGCTCATTAAGTTCTGCTCTGCCACACAATCTGCATGAATATTATCCCACAGATACATATAAAAGCATGAAAATGAAGCTCCTTATTGCAGGACTCGGAGCTGACACAACACCAAACTCACACGGCTACGGCTGCCCTGTGGCTCCAGAAAATTGTTTACTCAGCACCTTTTTCCTCAGAGATGTTGCAACTACCATCAGCTGTTTCCAGGAAATTTTTCCACGGAGAAAACTTGTTTTACCTGTCTGATTTTCTTACAGTGAGGACACTCTTTTTGAAAGAAAACCAGAGAAATTCAAAGGAAACGCACACCTGCATTATTATTCGCGCTTTTCCATGATGTGATTTGCATTTAATTTGGTTTTAGGATGAATAATTCCATTTTTTTTAATGTATGAGTCTATAGGATGCATCAGACATAACAGAATCATTTAAAAGTTAAGACACTGCAAAAGGAGTGATGGTTTTGCATCAGTTTAATTTTGACACGCTCACAGAGCTCCATCTTCATGGCTCAACTGCCCAAGGACCCATGTCCCACCACGCTCACGTACGCCCCTGTTGTGGTGTTGCAGACAGGAGGCATCTCACAGAGTCAGTTATTCACTTTAAAAAAGCAAAAATTGAGCCAGCAACGTGCCTTGAGCCACCAATGTGGCCAAGAAGGCCAATGGCATCCTGGGGGGCATCAGGAAGAGTGGGACCAGCAGGTGGAGGGAGGTCATCCTGCCTCTCTGCTCTGCCCTGGAGCACTGGGACCAGTTCTGGGCTCCCCAGTTCCAGAAGGACAGGGAACTGCTGGAGAGGGGACAGCAGAGGGCTACAGAGATGAGGAGGGGCTTGGAGCATCTCTCTGATGAGGAAAGGCTGAGGGACATGGGGCTTTTGAGTCTGGAGAGGAGAAGACTGAGGGGGGATCTGATCAACACCCATAAATACTTGAAGGGTGGGTGTCAGGAGGATGGGGCCAGGCTTTTTTCAGTGGTGCCCAGGGACAGGACAAGAGGAAATGGGCACAAACTTGACCATAAGAAGTTGCATCTCAACATGAGGAGGAACTTCTTTGGTGTGAGGGTGGCAGAGCCCTGGCAGAGGCTGCCCAGAGAGATGGTGGAGTCTCCTTCTCTGGAGACATTCCAACCCCACCTGGACGCGTTCCTGTGGGACCTGCTCTGGGTGGACCTGCTCTGGCAGGGGGTTGGAGGAGATGATCTCCAGAGGTCCCTTCCAACGCCATATAATTCTGTAATTCCATGAAAAACACATTCTGTATAATGCACTCTACGTTCCATGAAAAACACATTCTGTATAATGCACTACATCCATCATCCACGAGACATAGCATCTACGCGCAAGACACATCCATCTCAAGCAGCTCCACCGCTCTCCCTACAGAGGGAAAAACCCGTATCGAACTGCAGAGAACACAACGTCCACCCAGCAGCTTTCAGATTTCAAAACACAGAGTGCTACACTTCAAGGCACATTTCAAACAACCTGGCTGATTCCTATAATCCACCTCACAGTCTCTCCTCAGCCCCATTTGAATCCCTCTTTTGTACCCAAGCCTGCAATTACCCTAATACCAGCCCGAGACAGAGCAGTATCTTGCCATCTCAAGCAGCTCCACCGCTCTCCCTACAGAGGGAAAAACCCGTATCGAACTGCAGAGAACACAACGTCCACCCAGCAGCTTTCAGATTTCAAAATACAGAGTGCTACACTTCAAGGCACATTTCAAACAACCTGCCTGATTCCTATAATCCACCTCACAGTCTCTCCTCAGCCCCATTTGAATCCCTCTTTTGTACCCAAGCCTGCAATTACCCTAATACCAGCCCGAGACAGAGCAGTATCTTGTTTAAAAGCCTCAAAGGTGGTTATTTCCATGTCCCCTTGCAAACAGAGCACTCCCACAGTTATGAATGAGTTGTGTGGCTGTCAAAAAAGCAGATTTACTCTAAGGCTGGGAGCACAGAGTTGAGCATCACTGGCTAAAGCTATCAGTTTGCCAACTGTCTGCAAAAAATATGGAGGAAACCACCAACTGTTCTGTTTAAAAGCCTCAAAGGTGGTTATTTCCATGTCCCCTTGCAAACAGAGCACTCCCACAGTTATGAATGAGTTGTGTGGCTGTCAAAAAAGCAGATTTACTCTAAGGCTGGGAGCACAGAGTTGAGCATCACTGGCTAAAGCTATCAGTTTGCCAACTGTCTGCAAAAAATATGGAGGAAACCACCAACTGTTCTATCTCATCTCCATCTCCCCTCTTTCAGGGTCAAACCCTTCCCCCTCATCCTATGGCTCCCCTCCCTGATCCAGAGTCCCTCCCCAGCTTTCCTGGAGCCCCTTGAGGGACTGGAAGGGGCTCTAAGGTCTCCCTGGAGCCTTATCTTCTCCAGGCTGAAGACTCCCAACTCTCTCAGCCTGTCCTCACAGCTCCAGCTCATCTTTGTGGCCTCTTCTGGACTCGCTCCAACAGGTCCACGTCCTTCCTGTACGATCCACATCACCTCCACCCATGGTAATGCTCCTCCAGCTGCATTTTTGGGATTGAACTCTGGCTCATCTTTGATTAGAAACTCATTCTAATTCACCACGTGCAGCCAAGCCATGGCAGAAAACAGGCTGAAACCTTCACTAAACGGTTCAGTGCTCACTCTTGGTATTAAAAGCCAGGGCTGTATAAAAATCACAGCTAATCCACAGAAAAATCTAAACACACCGTACGAATCCCAACAACTACATTAAAATAACACATCACCTCCACCCATGGTAATGCTCCTCCAGCTGCATTTTTGGGATTGAACTCTGGCTCATCTTTGATTAGAAACTCATTCTAATTCACCACGTGCAGCCAAGCCATGGCAGAAAACAGGCTGAAACCTTCACTAAACGGTTCAGTGCTCACTCTTGGTATTAAAAGCCAGGGCTGTATAAAAATCACAGCTAATCCACAGAAAAATCTAAACACACCGTACGAATCCCAACAACTACATTAAAATAATCCCCGGTGCAAGAACTTTCAGCTAAGAACATCTGTCCTTAGCAAGACGGAGAAATAAATAAAGGAAAACTCAAACCCATGTTCATCTGGTGAAGACACCAGCTTCGCAGGACCCATAAATATCTCCAAATATCTGCCAGTCACGTCCTAACTCAAAATTCACAGCGTCTCCATAAGGAGGACCGACATTAGCTGCTGGGTTTAGCTTGATTATCTCACCAAATTATCTGAAACGCGCTTTCCTCCAAGCTATTAAACATGACATTTGCAGAGAGGTTTGAATTTCTTCCAAGAAACTAATCCAAGCAGCAGGAGGAGGAGGAGAAGGACCCCCATCTGAATCACGGTGGCGCTCAACCCGTGAGTTCCTGAGGACCACAAAGATCTCCATCAGCCCAACCTGCCCAACAGTCTCACCAGATGATAACGGCGTCAAGTTGGTAATTAGAATTAATTAGAAATACTTGATCTCAAAAAGATTTCAGCGTGAAGGGAGGCTGACACAGGAATCAAGTGTTGCATCTTGTAGAAGAGGAACAGAGCTAGAGCACCCATGGGTGAAGATGGCCACCATGAAGGGGAGCTACCATACCAACTCATGGATATAAAGGCATGATAGAAGCCCCCGTTGTGCTCAGCAGAGATGAAACCCTAAAATTTTCCACGCTCTTTCCCATATCTTTACTTTAATTGCTTCTTTACGATATTTAATTGGATATTTGCCCACTTTCCATCCAACCCCGTCGACCGAGCGCCCACTCACCGGGCCATCTGCTTATAGGCTTCCTCCGCCACCGCGAAGATGTGGGGGTCCATGTCCCCCATGTTCTGGCCGCTGTAGGCGTAGATGACATCTTGTTCGTAGATTGGCAGCTGCTCATATGGATTGATGGCAACAAGGACGATACCTTCAAACAGATAAAGAGATAGATACGTTACTTCAGGCTTTTCAGGGCTTGAGTTAGTTGGTTTTTTAAGCAATTTTTTAAATATGAGGCTTGGAGGATGAGAAAAAAGATGAGAAAGGAATGGGGAAGGGCTCCTAATTCTTATCTCAGCATCTCCTTCAAAGTGCTCCGCTTTGATAGCGAGGATATAAGCTCCAGTACAGCTACGGGGGCTATGGAACTGGGGAGAAAAGCAAATATATCATAATCTTCATTGTGTGAAGCCAGACTTTGCAAAAAGAGTGAGAAGAAGGGGCTAAACGGTGCCTGAGCCATCGCTTCAGAAAAAGCAATTCCTCTGCAACCAAAACCCAAACAAATATCCCGGATTTTCTCCCCCCCCCCAGCTTAAATTCTGAGTAAAAAGCTCCTAACAAAGAACGTACTCAAATCAAAATGAAATGCATAAATCACAGGAAAGGAATGCCAGAGCCTGCATTAAAGCTTTAAAGTCTCCTTTCCTCTCCAGCTCGGAGGAGGCGGCGAGCCCAGGAATTAATGAGAGGCAAAGCCACACGTGGTGCCACCAAGGGTTTGAGGGAGCTGGTCTGCACCCTGAAGAAGCAGAGCACTCACAAACTCCACCACCTCCAAAGTTCCTTTGGGTTTTGCAGGTTGAAATTGTTATTTTAAGGAACTCCAGGGAGCATGGGGAGCGGTGGGAGAGGGTGCCGTGCTCCAGGCTAAAGCCCAGGAAACCTCATCCCCCCAAAAAACACCACGATACTTGAACTATGTTGCCAAAGCCAATTTTCAAGAGTTTGCACTCTCAGCCTCACGTCTTAACAGCTCTTGATTCACAAAGTGCACTCTCGCAGGCAGAAACCACAAAATCCATGAAAATTCACTTAAAAGAACAAGGACAAAAGAGAAGCACTAAACAGTCGGGTAATGCATGTTGGCTGCTCAGGAACAAAAGGCTTTCAACAGCTTGGAATCCCCTGAAGATACATATACGCTCGGTGTCTCCATCTGATGCGCTGTTCCCCTTCACTAAAGCTTTTCAACCCAACGTGGCTTGGATCCAGGCAAGGTTTCCATATGGAAGAGCGTCAAAAAAGGGTCTCTGGGAGGAACCACGCTGAGCACAAGCCCCAAATGAGATATTCCTGGGGTTCACGGTGACAGTGAAGTGCCACTAACACCTAATAATCCTTTAATCTCCTTGTAATTTAACGCCGCTGACCCCAAACTCAGCTGTGCAAAAAGGTAGACCTTGCAGGACTTCTAAGCCGCTTTGGTTTCCAGGGAAATATCCAGATTAAAGAGCAAAAAAACCCCAAATCCCCACCCACCAAGTATTAAAATTATTGAAGTTCTCAACCAGAGATGAAGGATGGAGGTTGCAGTGCCCAGAAAGATGTTCAGACATCTTTTGGCAGCCTGAGCACCACAAGCGGTAAGAAGGAGCTGCTGTGGATGAGATGGGCACCCACTTGCACCCAGGCACCCCAAAAAGGGCACCCGTTAGGTGCTGCTCATGAAACCTGCCCTGGAGATGAAGCCTGTAGTGCTTTTCACACCCATCACCAGTTTCCTGCAAAGGCTTGAGCATTGCTGCTTGGTTTCTCCAAGGTTTCTATCTTCTGGCCTCAAGAGGAAGAGAAAAAGCACATGGAAAACCTACAATGGAGGTCATCCTTGTGGCATCTGATGCCTGGTGACCACGCGGTGCATCTCCTCATCCATAGTTACCACCACAAAGGGGAAAAAGGCATCTTGAAGAGGAGCATCATCCATCCTTTATTCTTCTATGAAAGCTGCCCCACACTAGAAGAGCCCAACCACAGGGCTACTGGGCAGGGAGCCCACCAAGAAGCGAGGGGCAGTGACTCGTGGTCCTCTAAAAACACACCTGATGCTTCCAAGGGACAGTGAGGTGGCATCTGTGCATCTCCTCAACCAGATTTAACACCAAGGAGGGGAAAAAAGCATCTGGAAGAGGAGCATCATCCATCCTTGACCCTCCTCAGAAAGCTGCCCTATGATGGAAGAGGAAATTGAGGAGATGCTTCCAAGGGACAATGAGGTGGCATCTGCGCATCTCCTCATCCAGATTTATCACCACGGAGGAAGAAAAAACTTCTCCAAGAGGAACATCATCCATCCTTTACCCTCCTCAGAAAGCTGCCCTGTGCTGGAAGAGCAAACTGGGGAGATGCTTCCAAGGGACAATGAGGTGGCATCTGCGCATCTCCTCATCCAGATTTATCACCACGGAGGAAGAAAAAACTTCTCCAAGAGGAACATCATCCATCCTTTACCCTCCTCAGAAAGCTGCCCTGTGCTGGAAGAGCAAACTGGGGAGATGCTTCCAAGGACAGTTGAGGTGGAACTCATCACAAAAAACATATTTCTTCTTCCTGCTACACCAGGCACCAGGCGTGGAAAACACACCTTGTAGCAGGCACGTAGCATGGCTGCTCCCTTCCCATAAACCACCCAAATTTTGCAGCCAATGCAAGGAACATCATCCATCCTTTACCCTCCTCAGAAAGCTGCCCTGTGCTGGAAGAGCAAACTGGGGAGATGCTTCCAAGGACAGTTGAGGTGGAACTCATCACAAAAAACATATTTCTTCTTCCTGCTACACCAGGCACCAGGCGTGGAAAACACACCTTGTAGCAGGCACGTAGCATGGCTGCTCCCTTCCCATAAACCACCCAAATTTTGTAGACAAAGCAAACACCACAAATAATTTCATCTGTCACCCAACGTCCCACCACATCAGCTTTTTGTGGGGGACAGAAATAAGCTGCTTTTTACCCCCCATTCTGCATCAGGAATGATTTATCACCGGCCGCACACACGCCGTGAGGCCGGGCTGCTCATCCATTTGAAAGCAGCATTTGCTAAAAAACATCTACATTTAAATGAGGTTTTAATTTTTGTCTTCTAGAGCAAACACCACAAATAATTTCATCTGTCACCCGACGTCCCACCACATCAGCTTTCTGTGGGGGACAGAAATCAGCTGCTTTTTCCCCCCCAGTTCTGCGTCGAGAATGATTTATCACCGGCCGCACACACGCCGTGAGGCCGGGCTGCTCATCCATTTGAAAGCAGCATTTGCTAAAAAACATCTACATTTAAATGAGGTTTTAATTTTTGTCTTCTAGAGCTTTTTTATTTAAAAAAAAAAAAAAAAAAACTTAAACTAAGGCGTGGAGAAAGTTGTTGTGCAGCAGTTGCTTCTGTGCTCTGTGTGATTTCTTTTTTCCCCCTCATCGGTCCCCAAGTTTGAGTCGATGCCACCAGCATCTAATTTGTTCAGCAACAAAAAAAAGCAGAAACTGATATTTCTAACACACTGCCACGATATTAAATAAATAAATGAAAAAAAAACCCAACACCAAACCCTCATTCTGATATCACAGACTATTACAGCTTCACCAGGGGGGGATGGAAAGAAATGAGAGAGGTCAAGGGCTTCCTCGCAACCCACTTTAAACACAAATATCTGGGGAAGGAAAAAGCTGGAAGTGCTAAAGCAATAAAACACATTTTCAAATGCTTCCTAAAAAAAAAATAAAATACGAGATGGGTCAGGCTTCTTCACACATTTAATTTGAAGCTTTCAAATGACTGAAAAGAATAACGACGGTCAAAAGCTTACAGTTTCATCTTCCAGTTTCAGCTGGAGGCTTTTATCTCCCTCTTTGTAATCCTTGATAATTTCGGCCGATCTCCAAACTTCATCAGGGTCAGGAATCCAAACCCTGGTGTACTGGAGAGAGGGGAAAAAAAAAAAAAAGAAAGAAAAAGCTTAATCACAAGGAAACCTCAGGAAATTACATCATAAATTGATTAATTCACCATGGATACAATCCCACATTCGTTATAAAGTCGATGCGGCCAAACAATTTATTTTAGTCCCCCCAGTAAATGTTCTTAAAAAAAAAAACAAACCCACAACCCAAAACACCAGACTTCCAGAAGTTTTTATGAAATAACACGATTCCCCCCACCACGTCGGACACCAAAGTGTATTTCTTTTGCACAAAACGATGGGGTCCTAACCCAAAGCCACCACCCATGGAGCTAAGGAGGCAGTAGAAGACACCACGATTCCCCCCACCACGTCGGACACCAAAGCGTATTTCTTTCGCACAAAACGATGGGGTCCTAACCCAAAACCACCACCATGGAGCTAAGGAAGCAGCAGAAGACACCAACACCAACTTATTCGGTTGGGGACGAACCTACAAGAGGCTTCAAAGCCCCAGAAAAAACATTTACAGACAATATTATATATACAATTATATATAATTAATAACCTTTTTAGCATCTCCAGTGTTCGGGCCTCCAAGAGGAAACCCCAAAGGTGGACCCCTACACAGAAACCAACTTCTTCGGTTGGAGACGAACCTACAGAGAGGCTTCAAAGCTCCAGAAAAACGTTTACAGACAATATTTAACCTTTTTAGCATCTCCAGTGTTCGGGCCTCCAAGAGGAAACCCCAAAGGTGGACCCCTACACAGAAACCAACTTCTTCGGTTGGAGACGAACCTACAGAGAGGCTTCAAAGCTCCAGAAAAACGTTTACAGACAATATTTAACCTTTTTAGCATCTCCAGTGTTTGGGCCTCCAAGAGGAAACCCCAAAGGTGGACCCCTACAGCTCAGCCAAAGTGTCCAAGAGGGGACAAAATCCAAGAGGGAGCCGCACTGCTCACACATAACGAGATTATGGCTTTATTTGGAGCCGCAACATCTCCTGCTAATGAGATTTAATTTGATTTTACGATGCAGAGAGAAATACTCTGCCCAAGCTGCATAAAAGCACATCCTCGTGCCGAGCACCCATGGAGCTAAGGAGGCAGTAGAAGACACCGAAACCAACTTCTTCGGTTGGAGACGAACCTACAAGAGGCTTCAAAGCCCCAGAAAAAACATTTACAGACAATATTATATATACAATTATATATAATTAATAACCTTTTTAGCATCTCCAGTGTTCGGGCCTCCAAGAGGAAACCCCAAAGGTGGACCCCTACACAGAAACCAACTTCTTCGGTTGGAGACGAACCTACAGAGAGGCTTCAAAGCTCCAGAAAAACGTTTACAGACAATATTTAACCTTTTTAGCATCTCCAATGTTTGGGCCTCCAAGAGGAAACCCCAAAGGTGGACCCCTACAGCTCAGCCAAAGTGTCCAAGAGGGGACAAAATCCAAGAGGGAGCCGCACTGCTCACGCATAACGAGATTATGGCTTTATTTGGAGATGCAACATCTCCTGCTAATGAGATTTAATTTGATTTTAAGATGTGGAGAGAAATACTCTGCCCAAGCTGCATAAAAGCACATCCTTGTGCCGAGCAAGTCACTGTTGCTCTGCTGAGACCTCTCTCAGGAGCTGGGAGAAACATATTGTAGACCCAGCAGCTACACCACAACCTCCACGTATGGGTGTCCTTCACCCTCTACATCCACCTCTCTTTTGACCACTTCAGGTACCAGTTGTCCTGCTCATGGGGCTGCCAGGGCACGGTCCTGAGGACAAAGAACCCAAAATTGCTCTATCCTTGCTAGAAGTCACCTTGAGTCAGGCTTTTTTTTTTGCTGGGAACAGTCCCATAAAGTCAGTTGGATGCTGGACCCAGCCAGCCAACACTGAGTCAACCCAAACCCTTCAACAATCATAAATTTAATGGCATTTTGAGGGGCATAACCTCCCCCCAACCCTTCCTGTTGGTTGAAATAATATCTATATAACCTCATTCTTGCACAAAATACAAGGTGTTGAGGGAAACCACAGCAAATCCAAGCGACCGTTGCACCCAAGATGGCTTTGTCCCTCGTCTTTAAACCAAATCCTTGGCAAAAACCAGCCAAATAATGCTAGGAGAAGCCAAGGGTTAAAGAGGCAAGAGTCTGTTCTGCAGCTGAAGAGCAATGTATTTTCAGCTGTATTGTGTGTAATTATTTTTAGAGTTGTTCAATAGCTACAGCAGCGGGAACCCTTGGATGTTAATGGAGCTAAACAAATCATGTTGCCAGAGCAGCAGTTTTAATCGGGGAGGGGGCGGGGGGGAAGGAAATAAAATAAATAAATAGACTTTTCTCAGCACATCACCTCTAGCATCCCTCAAGCCTCCTGTGCTTTCCCTGTCATGGGGAAGGGGCTGGTTTGGGACCCCCACCCCAATCTCCCTTGTCCCCCTCCCATCTCCACGCAAGGGATGTAACATCCCTGCGGCAAAGAGCAGGAGCCCCACCTTTGGTGGGACCACGAACCAAGGAGTTTCTTCCTTCATCACTTGGTTTTCCTCACCCGCTGCTCCTTGCCCCAGTTTCTCCTGGCTCCGCCACGATGGGAAGGGTTTTATGGACCACTCCTGCAGTTCTCAACCTTCCCACAAAGAGCTTTGCCTGCCTTTTCATCCCCACCGCCGGGGTTTCATCCGGTGCCAGGTCCCTCCTGGCAGAAGAGAGATCAAACACGCTCTAGAAATGCCCAGAATAGCTGGGGATCAGGATGTACCCAACTCAAGGCAGCCTCAGAAACAAGTCGTTGCTGGGCTTGGCTGGAATCCTGCAAATTCTCCACCTGCACAAGGAGCTGGGCTTAGCCAAGGACCTGCCTGGACAGACAGATGCAGAGAGAAGCACGTTGACTGCAAAGGAACCCAAAAAACCCAGGTGTTTTTTTTTCTGGTGCTTTGGTGGATGAAATTTGGGTCCACCTCCAGCAGCAGTAAGAGGTCACGTCGGTCCCTCTCGGCAAGTCATCGCTGACCATGGCCAGGAACCATCCAACACCCAGGTGAGATGTGGAAACCACTGGTGGAACGTAGCAGCTCCCAGCATCCATCACCCAAGGATGGACTTACAACGTGGGGGTGGAAGACTTTGTGTCCCTTCAGCCATCCCAACCCCAAAATTACTGCATTTTAATAATAAAACTGATTCTCCAAGACTCTGTATAAGCACACGTGCAAGGGTTCAGGCAGTACAGAAGGTGGAAAGACACGGGTGTTTGCAAGGTCTCAGGAGCCCTGGGGGGAACTTCTTCCCCATCTGGGAGATTCCGAATGGGATTATCGCTCCAGGACAAACACCGAGCGCTTCCCATCCTGCTAAATAGCTGTTGGCTCTTCGAATAGGCCCGTTATGAATGTATTTCCCCAAGCATCTCTTCCCATCCTGCTAAATAGCTGTTGGCTCTTAGAATAAGCCTTTATGAATGTATTTCCCCAAGCATCTATAATGCTGTCCCCTCGTGCGTGCACGCACATGTCTGAAAAAAGGGACCACGATTTCTTTTTATTCAGCATTTTCACCCTCCTCCCCTCCTCCTCCACCGGCTGGAGCCCCATGCTCACATCACCCCACGATTTCTTTTTATTCAGCATTTTCACCGTCCTCCCCTCGGAGCCCCACGCTCACATCACAGAATCACAGAATCTTCTAGGTTGGAAGGGACCTTAAAGATCATCTTGTCCAACCGTCAACCTAACTGACAAAAATAGACACCCACACAACAAACAAGAAGCATCATCACTAAACCATACCTCCCAGCACTACATCAACCCGTCTTTTGAACACCTCCAGGGATGAGGCCTCAACCACCTCCCTGGGCAGCCCATTCCAATGGCTGAGAACCCTTTCAGTGAAAAAATTTTTCCTAATATCCAGCCTGAACCTCCCCTGGTGCAACTTGAGGCCATTTCCTCGTCCTGTCGCCTGTGACTTGAGAAAAGAGACCGACCCCCATCTCTCTACACCCTCCTTTCAGGGAGTTGGAGAGAGCAAGAAGGTCTCCCCTCAGCCTCCTCTTCTCCAGGCTGAATAACCCCAGCTCCCTCAGCCTCTCCTCATAAGACTTCTTCTCCAGACCCCTCACCATCTTTGTTGCCCTTCTCTGGACCCGCTCCAGCCCCTCAATGTCTTTTTTGTGGTAGGGAGCCCAAAACTGGACACAGCCCTCGAGGTGGGGCCTCACCAGTGCCCAGTACAGGGGGATGATCACCTCTCGGGGCCTGCTCCCCACGCTGTTCCTGACACAGGCCAGGATGCTGATGGCCTTCTTGGCCACCTGGGCACACTGCTGGCTCATGTTCAGCCGACAGTCGACCAACACCCCCAGGTCCTTTTCTGCCCGACAGCTCTCCAGCCCCTCTGTCCCCAGCCTGTAGCGCTGCCTGGGGTTGTTGTGACCTTCCCCACCTCCGACTTCTGCAACCACCCCCCTCCAAAGCAGCTTCACGTGATGTTTGTCAATTAAATTAATATAAATGAGAGCCACCAGGTCACCAAAACCACGTCCCCAAGCAGGTACGCACCCAGGCAGGAGGAGAGTCTCTACTTCCATCATCTCACCTCTAGAGTAATTAGTGCATTTCGTATGCCGTGTCCCGGCTTCGTTAACTTTTAACAGCCTCTTAATGTTTCGGAAACCTTGTTATGAAAGAAAAGGGCAAGAGGGTCTGTCTCAAAGTGCTGGGACCTGAGGAATATCCTGACTTCAGGCTCAGGAGATACAACCCTGGGGAAGTCATTTAACCTCCCAACACTCCCGTGTCACCATCAGGGAAGGCAGAAGGAAAAGCATTTCTTTAATCCTAGAGGATGCCTTTGAAGGAGGCGTTAGCATTAATCACAAAAAGCTCCATATGCTCAGCTTCTCAAGAAAAAAAAATAATCTATTTTGTTTTATGGGGTTTTGTTTTGTTTTGTTTTAAACCAGATTGCCAATAAAACCAAAGCGATCCGGTGCTCTCAG